CCCACCCTCAGGCACCAGCCATCATTGTTCCGTTGGGGTGTGGCCAGGTTTTTCTTATAACAGTCAGTCTCCCCTCTTACCTTGGCTTACTATTCTGGGGGGTAGGGAGAGGTATCAGTGATATTGGAGATGACTAGTTGCTGTGTTATGGGTTTGAGTTTTATTTGGCTATAAAACAATCTTGTTGGAAGAAGTATGTGGGGAGTAGGGGAAAGGGAGAAGGGCCTCTTCCCACACACAAAACATCCCGGTTAGTCTCTGGTCTTGTTTGTAGGGATGCTGTTGGTCAAATGCCTTCAGATTGTACCAACTCAGCTAGCATTGCTAACCAACTCTTGCAGGCTCTGAAAATAAAAATAATCTTGAACCTGTGCTGTTTGCCTAGTTCTTGATGGATATAAAGAGAATTGCATTTCTTTTTAAGGTTCTGGGACCACATGTAACTAAAACCAGTTGGAGCAGTCACATTTTCTCAAGAGTCCAAAGTGTTCTCTCATGGCCTGGCTTCAGGGATCACCGGAATGACCTCCAGTTATTTCCTGAGTCCAAACACAAACTTGTGCTTCAGATTGATTCCCAAGAAGAAATGAGTCCATTAAAAACTGCTGGCATTTCCTTACAGTATCCATTAATTCATTTAATGGATAAAGCAACAGGCCAAAGGAGGGACCTTAAAGCTGATAGGAGTTTCAATGGTGTTCTGAAGGAGCCAGATTGAGGATACTACAGAATAAAACAGGACAGATGTTTGTAAGTCCTTGGCCCACTTGGAACTGGAGAAATTCAGAAGTGTGATGCTGGGAGCCATTGGCCAAAATGTAACTGCTGGAGCACAAGTTTTTACAAAATAGAGGGGTCCCTGGGATAGAAGAACTTGTGTTCCTTTCTATACACTATAAATGTTGAAAACTAGTAATTCAAGCATATTTGACAAATTTTAAATCTCACATAAACATAATACTAAGAGCTAAAATATTTCACCCGTGATCCCTCCTGCAGTCAAGAAAACTTCATTTCCACATTGTCTTCCCTTCTAGTTTGCACCTACTTAGAAGCATTATCCCAGCGTTTTTTTGTTTTTTGTGTGGTTTTTTTTTTTTTTTGCAGCTGGTTGGTATGGGGATCTGAACTTTGGCTTGTTGTTACAAGGCTGTGATCTAGCCAGCTGAGCTAATATTCTAATTTTTTTTTAATGTATGAAGAGGTGAAGTTCCCTGTAAAACCAATCTCCAGTGAGTATCAGTGTTTAAATGTTTATATGTTGTGAAGACTTGGAGGAGATAACATACCCATAGTATGAAAGTGTTTACATTAAACACTGCCACCCCATTTCCTCTCCCAGATGTTCACTGGGATTTTTTTTTAACCTTTCCAAAGAGACCATATCCAAGCATCCTCCCCACCCTTTTTCTTTTCCACTCTTTTATCACATTGGGGTTTATTGGGTTTTTTTGTTGTTGGCTGGCCAGTATGGGGATCTGAACCCATGTATTTTTTTTTTTTTTTAAAGATGACCGGTAAAGGGATCTTAACCCTCGACTTGGTGTTGTCAGCACCACGCTCAGCCAGTGAGCGAACCGGCCATCCCTATATGGGATCCGAACCCGTGGCCTTGGTGTTATCAGCACCGCACTCTACCAAGTGAGCCACAGGCCGGCCCTGAACCCATGTATTTTTGAGAGAGTACATAGAGAATATGTATAGAGATGGTTTTCAAGTGCATATGAAATTATATATAACTGTACTATTTAGCCATATTACGGTACCTTCCCAAACACAAGACTCCGTATTCCCAATGAGAAAATTCAAAAGCCTTGATTAATTAGACCACATAAACTTTTCTTATAATAGTGGAAATAGCCAAATATTTACTTGTAATTAATATCTGTACATATTTTAAAACAATTTTCAGTTGGAAATGCTGTTTTTTCTCAGTTGCTTTTCATGAACAAAATAAGCTTTTCAACATTTTTTTTTTTTTTTTTTTTTTTTTTTTTTGTCTTTTTCGTGACTGGTAAGGGGGTCGCAGCCCTTGGTGTGGTGTTGCCCACCCTACGCTCAGCCAGTGAGCGCACCGGCCATTCCTATATAGGATCCGAACCCGCGGCGGGAGCGTCGCTGCGCTCCCAGCGCTGTACTCTCCCGAGTGCACCACGGGCTCGGCCCTTCAACATCTATTTCTGAACCACATACTAGTTTTCTCGAACCCATCTTTTACCCAGAGTGTTTGAGATGACATAGCACCTTTGTAGTTCATGTGTGAAAAACTATCTATCCCAAAGCCAAGCATCCATTCTTGTAATTAGGTTTTTTAATTTGTCATGTAAGTGTGGATTTATGATTTCTATAAGATTATTACTTTTTTAAAAAACAAGGAGAACTTGCAAACATAGAAAAGTGAAATAATAAAAATTCTTTTTTGCCCATTACAGCTTCAAAAATTATCTAGTCATAGATCTACCACATGACCCAGCTATTCCACTGCTGGGAGTATACCCAGAGGAATGGAAATCATCATGCCAAAGGGATACCTGTACTCCAATGTTTATTGCAGCACTATATACAAGAGCTGGAACCAGCCCAAATGTCCATCATCTGATGAGTGGATAAGGAAACTTTGGTACATCTACACAATGGAATACTACTCTGCTATAAAAAAGAACAAAATACTACCATTTGCAACAACATGGATGGACTTAGAGAAAATTATATTAAGTGAAACAAGTCAGGCACAGAAAGAGAAATACCACATGTTCTCACTTACGTGTGGGAGCTAAAAATTAATAAATAAACACACAAATAAAGCAGGGTCGGGGAGAAGACAATAACTACAAAAATTCCTTGAACTGTTTAAGTCAAGAGAACAGATACGATGGGGGTGGGGAGGGACAGGTAAAGAGGCATGATAATCAAGTACAATGTATTTTGAGAAGTTAAATAAATAAATAAATAAAGATTATCTAGTCATAGACAATCTTGCTTCACCTCAACTTAATTTGCTTTTATTTATTTATTTTTGTGGCTGGCCAGTACAGGGATCAAATGCTTCTTAAAATTACTTTCAAGGTCAGGGTTTGATTCCTCATACTGACCAGCACAAAAAATAAATAAATTTACTTTCAGTAGGTAATACTTCCCTGGATTGTTGAAAAAGCCAGCTGGTTTCCTGTCTGACCTATCCTTACCACAATTAACTTGCTAAATTGGCTAATTAGGTCAACCCATTCTTACTTGAGAATTTAATGGTTCCTTGTTGCCTATGAAATGAAACCTGAACTCTTTAGACCAAGTGCTAAGATATAAACTCAGCCTTATTCTATGTTCATTTATGCTCCAATTCTCTTTCTAGAATGCTCCCTACCCTCCAAACCTTGCCTGTTACAACAGGCAAGCCTGCCATACAGAAAGTTTGCAATGACTGTAGAAACTCTTATATATGGATACCCACAAATTTGAGAATCGGTTAACTCTGAGGACCTTGGGCAAGACTGAACTCATTCTAAAATTTTAGGATGACTAGTATGTGAAAGGTGTGATCTCCTGGTTCAGATAAAAATTTTAAAGTATGCAAAGATTCCCCATACTGGCCAGCTGCCCCCCCCCCCGAAAAAAAAGTATGCAAAGAAGTATAAAAAATAAATCAATGCTCACTAACTTAAGAACAAATAGCATAGTTAAAGCCCCCAGCCTCCCCCAACCCTCACAAGGTAACCATTATCCTTCCCTGTCACTATGATCATTTCCTAAGTAAGAAGATACAAAATTGTCTTTCATGTTTTAAAACTTTACAAAAATATTTCCATTTTGTTCACACTCATCTGCAATTCACTTTGATTTTTACTCCTCTGCTCCTCACAATTAAGGACACTTGGCTCCAGGAAGGACAAAGCATGAGATAATAGTGACTCACGGGCCATACCTCTCCAACAGAGGAACGTGGAGTAAGTTACTTCCTCTGGTGCCTTTCCTCATGGATAACAAAAGGCATTTGAACTAGATGTTCCTGTGTCCACCTTTGTCCCAACATTCTGTGGCTCTGGTATTTGGATACCACTTTGGATACCCCAATACCCACTTCAGATCTACTTGGAAGTAGGGCCTCCATGCAGGAAAAGCTGTTTATTTCACTTACTTACTCAACAAATGTTTGAATTGTGCTGAGCACTGAGGATAAGGAGGTATATAAGATGCAGGCTTTCCCTTAAGGAGTTCACCAACTAGCATGACAAACAGTCACTCAAAGATTAGGAGACCTTAGGAGTAGCGGTTCCATGTAACAGAAGCTGGGATAAAAAGAGAGGGGTCCAGAGGAAATGGTGTTCAGAGCAAGTAGGTGATGTGTAAGCCTAATCTTGGGCAGGAGTCTCATGAAACAGAGGGCATTCTAGGAAGAAGGAACACACTGTGCGAAGTTGAAATACCATGAGTTCATGAATGTAGTTGAGGTAGGAGATGAAGTTGGGGGAGGTGGGTAGAGAGGGATACTACAAAAACCTTGAATATGGGGCTGGCCCGTGGCTCACTCGGTAGAGTGCGGTGCTGGTAACACCAAGGCCGTGGGTTCGGATCCTATATAGGGATGGCCGGTTTGCTCACTGGCTGAGCGTGGTGCTGACAACACCAAGCCAAGGGTTGAGATCCCCTTACCGGTCATCTTTTAAAAAAAAAAAAAAACCTTGAATATGGAGCTGAGGAGTCTGTAAGCCTCAGGGACCTATGAGAGCAGAACTTCTTAAACACTTGGGGAACTTGTTAAAATGCAGATTCTAATTCCATAGTTCTGGGAATAGGGCCTGAGATTCTGCATTTCTACCAAGCTCCTGATGCGGCTGATCTTCAAGGCCATACTTCAGCGGTCAGCCTGTAGAGGGCTTAGAAGGGAGTAGTGTGAGGCAGTACAGTCACTGAGGGCAGAATGAAGGATGGATGGTGGGTGAGGAACGATGAGGGCACAGTCATGGCAGAGCTGCAGGCACGGGAGGGAAGGACGTCGGGCACTGGGATCTGGTGATGGGTGGGCAGGAATGAAGGAGAAGGACAGAGATCCAGGATATGGTCCTGGCTCCTAACCTGAGGAACTGGCACTCAGAGCAAGAAATACCAGCTATAATACCAAGGTCAAGGATTCAGATCCCCGTACAGGCCAGCCAGCTGCCAAAACAAAACAAAACAAAATATAGGAGGAAAGGAAATATAAAAAAAAAAAAAGTTTAAGGAACTTTATAAAATTACTGGCCTGTGTTCTTTATAAATGTCAGTGTCATACATGATAAAGAGAAGCCCAGGAACTTTTCCAGATTAAAGGAAATTCAAGAGACATGACAACTAAATGAAATATGTGATCCTGGACTAAAGAGACAAACAAAAAGTGC